GAAAGGTACTATACCACATATTTTGAGGCATTAGAGGATCTCAGTATAAACAAGAGTGGTTTAACAATTCTTTTAATATCCTCCTTTGATGCCATAACCCAGTGTACACAAGCTGCTGATAGTACCACTGCACTGTTGTTACTCCACAACAACGGAGATGTACAATACAGCAGGATCTTCACATCATCATTAGTTTTCGATGTAAAATGAGTACCATTTAACTCAAAGGACACCCTGTTAGTGTAACTTGACCTAGATAAATACTCATCTGGGCTCTCAATATAACATTTGGAAACCATATTTACAAATTCAGAGTCACATGTCCCACTCATGTCAATAGGTACCTTTAGTCGTCTAAAGTCGACATCAGAACCAGCTTTTTCAGAATGGGAGCCCTCAGTACAATGCAGGGAAAACATAATGGATTCTTTCACAAGCCCATGCCTTGCAATAACATAGCGTAGAAGGATTCCAATTAACACTATCTGACCCCACTCTTCCACATCAGGAAGAATCTCACATAACTTTCTATAATTCCTCCCAATCAAAGATAAATTATATGGACAGACAGACACAAATGCAGCAGCAGCAGCTCCAACTACTCCAGGGGAGTGGTCATTTAACAATATTCCAATGATCTGCAAAATATAAATATTTAATAGTACAAATCCAACCCGTCAAAATGTATTATAACAAGAGATGACGTCCAAGGTGTCATGCTACTAAAGACATCTAAATTGAACATCTTATTAAAGAAGCTTAAATCCATGAATGTTTATTCATGTATGAAAGTTATGTAGTTGTTTTGAAAAGCTTGTATGAAAGTTATATATAACTTGGAGGAAGCCACTCTTTTATTTTAATATAAACAAACAGAAGAAACCAATACTCTTTGCAAACTACAGAAATTCCTGAAAAATACATAGATGCACAAATTATATTCTTAGATATGATCTTTGCATATTGCAAGTCAAACTAGCCTAAAATACTTTCCAAAAATAATCCAATCTTTTAAGCAAAGCCATCCAACATTCTAAGCAGTTTTCTTATGAGCATTTTTCACCAGATCTTAACAATGGAAAATGAGTAGTAGCAAGTTGTAAGGTCAAATTAAATCATGGAAAACATGAAAGCAAAAAGAACTATTAACAAATAAAGTTATCAAAACCTCTTCAACCGCCGAGGTATGCTCCTCTTGGCGCAAATCATGCAATTTGGGAAGCGCATTGGCTGCACATTTTCTCACATAGACAGATGGATCTCTAGCACACTTGCCCACAGCCACCAGAACAAGAGGTGCAATAACATGTAGACGAATTCCAGCCATGGTGCGAAGTGCCCACGCTCTCACCAAAGGATTCGGATCCCCCAAATCCTTCTGGAAACAATTAATTGACAGCAATGCTTCATTTGGACGCCTAGATAATTAAACACAGAAAGAATTAGTAATAAGTTCAACATCCATGCTTAAAAACAACACAGACAATCCAGTCAATCTCCCCTCTCCTTTGAGCCACTCTCTTATTTTAAGATAAAGACATTCTACCTTCGTGAGCACTGCATTTATGTAAGAAATCAGACAGTGATTCCAAATGATTCATTTACCTTGGAAAGACCACAAAAAACCATAACCTAATAAATACTCTCAACTTACCTGCTGTGGATAACAAATCATTCCCACTTCTATCCACTGTAATTAGAGAAAAATTAATGTATGAAGCAAGCATGCACTTCAGTTGTACTAATTTTCCCTTGTTTATTAATGTTGCTTATTCGACATGCAGAAACAGTGATAGGAATTTAAACAAAATTCACTCTAAATAATGGAAGTTTGTGAAACGTACTTTTCAGCATAATGCAGTAGATACAAGTACACCAGCTTCTTTACTTCCAAAGATTGAGATGCTACATTCTTGACAACCTGTAATTCCAGCAACCAAAGAGATGGAAAACATAAACACCACAATTAACTAAAACATAAATACTATCAAGAATGCAATAATGATCAACAATCAATGTCCACACTCCATAGACTCAATTCAACCATTTCTCGCTACTCAAAACGTAGCTAGCAATAAAGATCAATGAACTATAACTCAATCAGTGAAATTCAGTTACAACAAATTTTGAAATGCTTAACAATCTTTCTCATTTTCCTGCGACTTTCTCGGCAACCAAACAGAAAACTGAAACAACAGAATCATATAATTTCAAAGTTCAAAACACTTGCAATTAAACACGATATTTAAACATTCAAAGTTCAAACGCTAATATTCTTTGCATTTTCCTGCAACCTTCGTAGCAGCCAAACAGACCTCCGAAAGGAATTTCAAAACCAGAACACTTTAAAGTTTAAAGTTAGTTCACTTCTTCATGTTTCTATTCAACAATTCAAATGAAAATTAAATGACCTGAGGGAAGAAATTGGAGACGTCGAAGCCTTGAGCGATTTGGGCGAGGAGTCGCTTGAGAGCCTCGCACTTCTCCGAATCGAATTTGCTGTCCAAAAGAGGCGCTATGCTGACGTCGTCCGGATCGTCGTAGAGGTGAGCATCTGTTCCGATCCGGAACACCATCGTCGACGCCTTGCTCAACGTCTCCGCCGTTGCTCCGAATTGAGGAAACATTTCCCCTAGTATTTTTCTTCTTTTTTTCTTTTCGCAATAATTAAGAATTATGAGAAATTTGCATTTGAAAATTTATTTCGACGAACAAATTTAGAATACTTTCTGATCTCTAATATGGGAGCTTTGGCGGAGTGGGCAAGTGTGGAGCTGGAAATGCGATGTTTGGGTAGCGGGATAATTACGATCTGCGCGGGGATTATGATGACTAGTGTTCTGGATAATTAGTGGATAAAAGATATGTTAGTGTTTGGATGTAATCGGATCGAACTGTAATAAACTTTTCGGACAAAGGTCAAATTTGTCGTTTTAAAATAAAAATTATATTTAAAAATTTGTGAATGTGATAAAACTTATTGTTTTTTATATTTATGCAAGCAATAAGTAATATAAATATTAACGTAAACATTAAGAAACAGTAATTTTAATAAAAATACATTTAAAAATATAATGAATTTAATTAATTTGTTATATAAATTGTTATTGCCAATACAAATATTATACTATAACCCTTAATTAAGATTAAATACAGTTATATATTTAAAAAGACAAAAGGAAAATATATTTAAAACACCTATATGGATATATTAAAAAAAGGTTATATGCATAAATATTCAAATCAATCACTAAATAGTGATATAACAAAATTATAAATTTAAAAATAATCATAAAAATATGTTTTCATGAATTTTATGACGTTATTTGATAGTTTTGATTTTAATGCATTATATTAGATCCAATAATAAATTTAGTTTCTATATTTTTAAAAAAAATATTGAATTTAACCCTTAATTGATTTAACCGATTATCCAACTTATTTGAAATTATTTTACTTTTTACAATTTTTTAACTTTTTAATATTTCTTAATAATTTATTTAGAAATTTATTGATATTATATCTTCTTTTATGGTTAATATAAGCTTATTTTGGAAAAAAATATAAAAATTGATTTGGAATTTTTTTGCCATTAATAACTATCTAAATTTAGTTAAAAGAAAGTTATTTTATTTCATAATCAAAATAGACATTGTTGAACTGGATTTTAATTTTAAAAACGTAGCTTTTAAAATTAATTAGATAGTGTCTAAACAAATGTGTTAGCTCCTCCCTCGCAAATCTTTCCTTTATAGTTATGGAAAGAGATCTTAGAAATTAAACTTATTATAATATAGGAGTTTTAATGTATTTAGTTTGATTTATATATATTTTAATAAGAATTTTTATAAATTATTAAAATAAATAATATTTATGAATTCGAAATTTTGAATGTTTTGTTGATTTGAGATATGATTTTTGATTTGTGCGTGAGTAGTTTACGTGCAAGAAAACTTCATTATAGAATTAGGAAATATAAAGTCCATTAATTTGATTAATCAATCAAATTTTTTTAATTTAATTAATCTGATTTAATTGATTTAATGAAAGCTTTTAATTGAATTAACTATTTTTAATCAGCTTAATCGAACAGAATTAATCGATTTTTGTAAATTAAGTAAGTTTTAATCGGTTTGTAGCGTATCCTTATTTAAGAGAGATAACATAAGGGAGAGAGAAATGAGAGTGGAAGAGAATGCTAACAAATTTAGCTATGGCTGTGTTTTGAGGGTTTTTTTTTTTTGAAAGAAGAAAAGGAAATAAAAATAAGTAGAAGTGAAAAAAAGCCAAGTCACATTTTCTTTTAATTTTAAAATATCCAAAATTTAAGTTAATGCTAACAGTAGCATAGTTGAGTTAATACTTTAACGATATTAAGAGTTGATTATTTTAAAGTTGACAGATTTGATTTATACAAATAATAATACAAAATTAAACTCCACTTATTCAATCTAAGGTTTAAATCTTGAATTTGATATATATATATATATTATAAAATTGATATATAATGTTGAAAAATAAAAAAATCATAAAAATAATTTGAAAACGTATAAAATAAAAAAATTAAACATCTTAAAAATTTGTAGGACATCCAAAAATTGAGACCAACAATAAAATTTCATTTGAAAAACAAGAAAATGCAAATAGAAAAAACTTTTCAATATATTCTCATTTTTAAAAAAATAAATATAAATATAAAAAAATTTTGAATCAACAAAATTAAACTTATTGATTGATTAAGAGAAATTATCTTAAGTCCGCTAAAAGCATAAGACTATTTTTCGATTTTCTTCAATTTATTCAGATAATAAAAAAATATTTTTATTTATTTAAATAATAAATATTATATTTTAAAAAATAGTTTTCATAAAATTATATGTTTTTCTACAAAAAAGTTCCTAGGCGCTCTCTCACAGCGCGTGTCCAACAAGTTCCACTTGTCTGAGTTGTCAGTTCCCTACGACACTTTTCACTGGCCTTGTCGCTTCTTCCCACTCGTTCAGAATAAACAAACAAATTTACTTCTCTGCACTAAAATCTAAAAGCCCCCTTCAGCATCTTTCTTCCACAAAACCGGAGCTCTCGCAGATTAAGCTCAAGAATCTCATAATCAGAGCTCCAGTTCTGTGAAGGTAAAAATTAAACTCTCATTTTCTGCTCCCATTTTTCATTTGCTTCTTCTTCCTTCAGTTTCATTCGATGAAAGTTTTCGTTTCTGCTTCTGTAATGGTGCATTCGGGTGTGAAAATTTTGTGGAGTTTAGTCGACTCCTTTTTTTTTCCTTTTAAATGTTTTAGCAATGATCTGCTTGTTTTGATCTTTTAATTCCTGCTGTTTTTTTTTTTCGTTTTTACTGTGATCTATGTTCATTGCATGCATTTGTCTTAGTAATTTACTTTCGGGGTTTGTTTGGTTATGGGGAAAAGGAAGGTGAAGAAGAAAGGAAAATCCTCTGTTTGATAGATGCTTCAATGCATAGTTTTAGTAGTTGTGCTTCTGTTTTCGGCTCCGTCTCATAATAGGAAGTCATAAAAATAATTTGTTAAATATTAGCAAATAAAATGCAACAGTAATGCTTTTGTATGGGAGCATACTGTTTTCCTTTTTGTTTTTGAATTCGAAAGCAGAAAGCAAGTACCCATAGCAACGATTGAATTATGTTTGAACTTCTTCTTTTTTTTTTTTTTGGTTTCTACTTATTTTTCGTTTCCTTTTGATTTTCCTGGTAAACAAACATGGGATTGGAGTTCTCACAAAAAAGAAACTGCTGACAATGGGTTCATTTTGGAAAATGTAATTTATGTATGATTGTATCCTGCTTTAGTTTGGTTAAATTTTATTTTGTTAAGATCTTATAATTAATAAAATTCTGCTCCATTGAATTTTTATATGCCATCGAATTCATGATATAGCTATATATTTTGGTATTATCTGCTAGATAACGGAGACTGTTTGAAAGAGCTTTAAAATATTTATTTTTAATTGACTTTTTAATTCTTCAAACGTATAAGGAAGTGCATACTTTTCTATACGTGTACTTTGATGTTCTGATTTTGTTGTTACCTTATAGGTTCCTTGAGAATGGATATCAGCTCGGGCGAGGATTCAGATATAAGTGAATCTGAAATGGAAGAGTATGAAGATAAATCTTATGAAAAACTAAAGAATGGGAAACACAATATCAAAGTTTCTGAGGAAACTTATACTTGCCCCTATTGTCCCAAGAAAAAAAAGCAAGATTACTTATATAAGGAACTCCTTCAGCATGCTTCTGGTGTAGGAAAAAGTAATTCGGACAAAAGAAGTGCAAAAGAGAAAGCCAATCACCTAGCTTTGGTGAAGTATTTGGAAAAAGATCTTGTGGCTGTAGGTAGTTCATCAAAAACTGCGGCTGAGGAGGATCCTCTTAGTGGTTGTGACCATGATGAGAAAATTGTTTGGCCTTGGACAGGAATTGTGGTTAATATCCCTACTCGAAGGTCAGAGGATGGGAGATCTGTAGGAGAAAGTGGATCCAAGTTGAGGGATGAGTTGATCAGGAGAGGGTTCAACCCCATAAAAGTACTCCCACTCTGGAATTACCGTGGTCATTCAGGGACTGCTGTTGTGGAATTCCATAAAGACTGGCCAGGGCTACATAATGTCTTGTCATTTGAGAAGGCTTATCAGGCAGATCATCATGGGAAAAAGGAGTGGTGTGCTAATAATGATGTGAAGTCTGGTCTTTATGCTTGGGTTGCCCGTGCTGACGACTACAAGTCAAGTGGCATTATTGGGGAACATTTACGCAAGACTAGTGACCTTAAGACCATTTCTGGGATCATGGAGGAAGAAGCCAGGAAACAAGATAAACTAGTATCAAATTTGACAAATATCATTGAGACTAAAAACAAACACATAAAAGAGATGGAAGCAAGATGTTCTGAAACTTCTAAGTCCCTTGAGGTTTTAATGGATGAAAAAGATAACCTTCTTCAAGCATATAATGAAGGTGGCTTTTGACTTTTGTCATGTAGTTCAAGTTTTCTTATGAAAAGTAGTTGTAAAATATTCATTCTATTCTTCTGTTGGATTTATTCTGTTTTTGACTGTTCAAGTGATAAAGTGGCACCATTCAGTGTCTTCAGCTGAGGGTAGCTTAGTCCCCACGTTTGAGTCTGTTACACGTCATTCTTGTTTTTGTAAAACACTCTCGAGTTCAGTTAACTTTGGTGATCAAGAGTGTTTTCTAGTATTACTGTTGTCTCGAAGGTGTTAACTTATGTCATGCTGCTTATGTTTGCAGAGATTAAAAAGATACAACTAAGTGCAAGGGAGCACTTCCTGAGGATTTTTAATGACCATGAAAAATTGAAGTCACAGCTAGAATCTCATAAAAGAGACCTAGAGTTGCGTGGAGTTGAACTCGAAAAGCGTGAGGCACTGAATGAAAGTGAAAGAAAAAAGTTGGCTGAGGAGCTTGAACAGGTGTTGTGCCTCGTTTTTTATATTTGAATTTTGCTGTTCGCCCTGTAAGTTTTATGTTCAAGTTGTTTTTGGTACTACTGTTGTCTCATAGTCATGTCATATGACCGCTTTGGAGTGGCTGCCATCAGAACTCATAGTACTGGTACAGAATTTTTGCTTTTGCAACAATTCTTGTGAGAAGCATCAGGTGCTGAAATAAACTGTGTTGTTCCTCATTGGCAGTCTGGATAGAAATGCATCTGTCAGATATGGTGGATATAGTTGTTGATTTTCTAAATTGTGGACCTATAATTGGGAGTTTCCAATGTCAAATTTGTTTCTCCTTAATATAAATGTAGTGCATATATTTCTCAGGGTAAACAAAAGTGCCCAGTTTGCAGGCTACAAAGCTACAGTTGAGAATTTCCTATCATGAATTTGTTTTATTTAAAGACATAGCATTAATGAAAAATCAACAACTTTACTTGCTCTTGCAGCACCAGTTGATGTGTTTTGTTTTAATCATATGCTCACGAATGTTTGGTGAAAGAGTTATTTGAAAGCTAACATATTTCTTCTTCCAGAATGCCGTACAAAATAGTGCTCTACAATTGGCTGCTTTGGAGCAAAAAAAGGCTGATGAAAATGTAATGAAACTGGCTGAAGATCAGAAGGTTTGTTTGTTATTTGTGTGCTTTTCTTTCATAATACAATACTTCACTCATTGTTAGTTTTGGAAAGCTGAGAATTGATGTTACGGCTGGACCATCAATCATACAGAGGCAGAAGGAGGAACTTCACAATAGGATTATTCAACTGGAGAAACAACTAGATCAAAAACAGGCATTAGAATTGGAAATTGAGCAATTGAGAGGGTCATTGAATGTAATTAGGCACATGGGAGATGAAGATGATATAGAAGTTCTGAGGAAAATGGAGGCAACTCTTAAAGAGTTGAGAGAAAAGGAGGGAGAGCTTGAAGACGTAGAAGCACTGAACCAAACTCTTATTGTAAGAGAACGTAAGAGCAACGATGAGCTGCAGGAGGCTCGTAAAGAATTAATTAATGTGAGTTCTTTTTGTTTCTTTTCCAATTTTTAAATGCTTGCCCTGTGACACTTGAATTTTACTGCATGAACCCAAAAGGTCTTCAAAACTCCAACCTTATGAGTTAATAATTGTAGACGTAAGTGAGCAAATGTCCTTCATTTTGAAAGTCTTCTAAGTTCTTTGGTATATTTTTTTCAGATAATGGATATTGGAATTATGGTTTGTATGGGTTTGCTTACTTCTTCAAGATTATTTGATGATATTGCAAAAAACAGAAATAAGCTGGGAAATGATGTTCAATGGATAGTAATGCAGAGAATAACTATTTTCTCATTGCATTTAGCTGATTGGTTGTATTTGAACGCTTTTCCTCATTAAAAACTAATTGACACAATCAAAAGATTGGATAAAGTACAGGTTTTTAATTTTATCACGAGCAAGTTGCTTTAATTGTGTACCTGGTTGTCCAGGCATATGGTGTTCTGTTTCATTGCCTTTTATGAGTTGAAACATGGGTCTGGGCTGTTCGGATTATTCCTTCAGTTCTGCCTGCAACTATTTTACTTCATTACAAGTTTTATTGCTTGTTAATTGCTGATTGCTGTTGTGCTCACTTTCTAAGGCTTAATTTTTTTTTTCATATCTGGTTACTTTACAACTAATTTTTACTGAGAATTGCCATGTTTATGACTGCTTATTGATTTGTGAACTCTTTTGTGGTGCTTATCATATAATTTCTTAAAATTTCTGCTGTGGTCTTTTGTGTGCTCATCAGAAGCTTCTCTTGCTAGTGAGGAAGCACTAATTCATTCACTTTGTAGGGATTAAAAGAAATATCCAGTCGTGCACATATTGGTGTCAAGAGAATGGGAGAACTTGACAGTAAACCATTCTTTGAAGTAATGAAGAGAAGGTATAATGAGGAACAAGCAGAGGAGAGAGCCTCAGAACTGTGCTCATTGTGGGAAGAATATCTGAAGGATCCTGACTGGCATCCTTTTAAACGCATTAAACTTGAAGGAGAAGAAGAATATCAGGTCTTCATTTCATAATCTTAAAATATTTGTGCTGCTAGCCTCCCTCTGTAACAAATTTAGTGCTGTTGCATGATAAACTATGTTAGTTTACATAGATGTCATATGTATGTCCTGCTTCTTTGATGCTAGGTATGGATTCTTTTGTAGAACATGACTAAAAAAACAATTGAGAGAGTGAGACTACTTCATGGTAGTTCTGAAGTTGCATTGCTCCCTCTCTCCTCCATTGAGAAAATCATGTGTTAGATTAGATCTCTGTGGAGCCTGACTTGATGAAAAATCTTACAACCATAATTCTTTAAGTTAGAATCGCTGGCATTGCTGTTCCTATGATTCCACTTTCAGGTCTGTATGTCATACTAGTTTTTGTTTGCCCTTAGAAGTTTTTAGAACATAGAAATGGAAAAACCTTTTATGTCTAGCCTCTAGCAGTTCCATTTAATCATTGCTACAGCTAGTGATATATATATATATATATATATATATATATTAATCATTGCTACAGCTAGTTATATATATATTCTCCTAGTGAAGAAACTCTTTCATGTGATCCAGTTCAGATAGGTGCAAATTTCCCGGCATGGTCCAATGACATGCTTCAATGTTCACCAATCTTACTTGTACTCACCTTTTAGGTTAGCTGGCTGTAAGTGTTATCTTTGCTAGTTGTTGGCTTGGTAGAGGGCTGCTTGTCTAAATCTATAGGTGCTGTATGTGTGTAATTATGCTTGTTGTTAGCTGGATATGTATATGCAGTTCTTGTTGTAGAATCTGTAAGATAATAAATTTCAAGTAGTCAATTGTTCTTGGTTTTTCTTGAAGTTATCCATATGCTTTTCTTGTGAAACACATCTTGGTTGTTCCTTGTTCTGCTGCTTTTTATTAGTGTCAAATGGTTTGCTCAAAGTTCAATAATGTTGCTTCAGGAAGTGATCAATGATGAGGATGAAAAGTTGAGAGATTTGAGGAACGAGATGGGTAATGAAGTGTATAAGGTAGTCATTTCGGCTATAAAGGAAATAAATGAATACAATCCAAGTGGAAGGTACATAATTTCAGAATTGTGGAATTATGGAGAAGGAAGAAAGGCAACACTGCAAGAGGGTGTCATATATTTACTGAAGCTGTGGAACACGGCTAAACGCAAGCGAGGGACAATGTGAAGGTTGCTAATTTATTTTTCAGGTAGTTATTATTTCCCAAGGTCTATATAATTAGGAATTAAGAAATGAACATATGAGTGGTCAAGGAAAGACAAGTTCCAGTGTGGCATGTTTGCATGTGATCTTCTACTTTATACTGAATGACAAACGATTAGTTGGCTAAGTCTAGTAATATTCTTTGTGCATGCATTATGTTATTCACCCTTGTATATTATGTCAAGAAAAACACTAACATTTTCTATCATTCAGCACCATACAAACATGGGGTTCAAATCTTTGTGGTATTTTATTTTCTTATTAAATTGTGGCCCCTTAAGATGTTTGGCAATTTTTCTAGGATGAATCACTGATCGTTGTTGTTTTTAATCGCAGGAAATAATTTGCTGACGACCTATTAAGGAGCAGTATCCTTGAAAAGCAAGGATGCATCACCAGAATATCGAATTAGGTTGCAGTGTTTTATGCTCTGCATTGTTGTTTATTTGTACATTATTGAATTCCATGTTAAAATTTTTCAGCTCCCAGGGTACACACCCTTACTGGAAAGAAACTGCATTCATTGTTAACATGTAGAATTCAAGCTCATGGACAGCATGTCCAGAAAACGATGTCGAAGAAAGACCTGTTACAGACAGTAGTCCTCAGGTTAGACAATGTTCTGTTAATAAGAAGGTTTGAACTGCTTTCTGTAACTTGGATCGAAGTCAAAGACACTGGTTAATGACATGCAGCCTTATAAAGACATGGTCAAAGGGTCCGACAAATGCAAGCCCATCTTTAAATTGTGAGATCACAAATAGCATCTCTGAGCTGCTGGCATTCATGGGATTTATGATTATGACAACAAGCCATGAATTCAACTGGTTGCGTAGGGGATCAAAGCATAGATCTCCTGTTACACCAACCAAGGCCGATAGCAAAGACACATATACGAGTAATCTCCACTCGTTGTGCCACTTGCTTGCGCCCTTCAGTCCTTCCACCTTTAGCAATCATCAGCATTGCTCAACCCCTTGGACCAAGTTGTATGGGTAAAACAAAAATTTGAGGCCTCCACCGAGCCCAAGAAAGTCTTCGGCCTTTGGGTTTTCATTTCCAGCTAATTAAAACGAGACGAACAACTTAGTTTAAAGCCCATAATAAGATCAAAAGAGAAACCCTAAAAATTTTTCGAAGGTCACCGTTGAAAAGAGAACGATTCGGCAACTTGCTTAGGCAAACAAAGCTGCTGTTCATCTTTGGTTTTGTTCTTTCACCGAAAAATTTTGATTTTGTTTTGCTTCTGGGTTTGAAGGTGAGCAATTAGCCAATTGCATACTTTGATATATTTGCTTGTGTGAATGGTCAGTATCCCACCAACATCACTTTCTTTTGGTTCTGGCTTTTCAATTTGTGAAACTGAAACTCTGGGTTTTCACTCTTTAAGGCCGTACATGAAAATATTTTAAAACAAGTCTTTGATAATAATGGGTTTTATTTTGTCTATTATGAGCTTTGACGCTATAGCTTTTTCTTACCCTTTCGTTCACTTTTTCTTCTTTTTTTTTAATAAAATTTGACTTATTATAATCTAAAGCAACAGCAACATACAAACATGTTATTACAACAGCAAAACACTATATAATACAGAAACTCAAAGCATCAGATAACAGTTATTTGGGATGTCTCTGCCAATTCTGTAAAAAACTTAAGTTTCTACAACTTTACCGTTTGCAATACAGATGATGTACTCGATTTCCTCTGTGACTTCTTTCATTGAAGGCCTGTTCTGTCTACGCTCTTCCAAGCAGTTCAATGCAAGAAATCCTAATGCTTTCATGGTGTCCACCTCTATGGGGCCTGCTTTCTCTCTTAACATTGGATCAATGACATCGACCAGTTTCTCCTCATCTGCCATCCTCTTCACGTAGACTGCCAGGTTCACATCGTCTGCATCCCTGTTAAAGTCTATCGCCTTCTGTGATGTTAGAAGCTCTAACAAAACCACCCCAAAGCTGTAAACGTCACTCTTGTCGGTCAACTGATAGTTTCTGTAATACTCAGGATCAAGATATCCAAGGGTGCCTTGAGCACAAGTTGAGACGTGACTCATGTCTGTATGAGCCAACCTGGATAACCCGAAGTCTGAAACTTTAGCAGTCAAATTCACATCGAGTAGGATGTTACTAGACTTGACATCTCTGTGATATATTGGAGGAACAGCAGAGGAGTGCAAGTATGCAAGACCGTCGGCAGTATCACAGGCAATTTGGAGACGGCGGGTCCAAGTGAGAAGCCCTCTCTCACCATGACTCAGGCTCTGTAAATGATCCAACAGATTCCCATTTTCTATGTACTCATAAACCATTATAGGCTGCTCCAATTCAACACAGCACCCAAGCAGGCGGACAAGGCTTCGGTGATTGACTTGGCATAGAATCCGTACTTCATTGAGGATTTGGTCAGTGCCCTTGGCGTTGCCAAGCTTGGCACACTTAACAGCAACAACAGTGCCATCATCAAGAATTCCTTTGTAGACATCACCATACCCACCAGCTCCTAATATGCGGTCTCTAGAGAAATTATTTGTAGCTTTCTTTATCTCTTTGCCAGTGAACACCTTGGCTGCTCTGCCTCCATTGTTCGCATTTAGGATCTCTTCACGCTCCTTCCTCAGGCGCTCCTGCGCATCTATGATGCGCCTGTGGCGTTTGTAGAGAAGAATGCCGATGATTGCTGCAAAGAGTGCTGTACCAAGCCCGGCTGTTAAACCTGCAAGTGAATTTCAAATCAGTCAAGACATCTACAGCATGGAGGAAGTTCTTGACCAACAAGCTAATAGTACACCAATCAACCAAGAGATATTGATACTTCTCTATAAACCAAAACTTTATTGTGAACTATTGAATTCTCATTGACATTTGTTCGAATTTTCGACATATTCGTGAATCTCTTTTCATTTTTCCCACCATTATGCTATATGTAAATGAAGCCAAATCTTATCAAGTACGGATTATTCTAGATGGGGAAGGTTCACTAGCCTTAGTATGTTGACATAAAAGCAAAGCACAGGAGAAGAAAACGAATCTTAGCTCATAGTTAGAAAATTCTGCTAAAGTTGACTACACCAATTCCATTTCTTCTTCTTCTACAGTTTGTCAAAGGTAAGGACCAATCATTTCATCTAGAACCAACAACCGAGCATTAATGCAAAGATTTGCCTAAAGAAAGAATTGAAAGTGACATAAAGGATTTAGATAAGACTTAGAATCTTCAAACCCCATTTGCCCAAATCAACCCAAAGTCTCAATTTTCAACCCAAACGTGGGTTTGATCGGATTACACGGGATATAACATGTTACTTCAAGTGTCCAAAAAGGTATGATTGCCCCTCTTAATCTTTCATTTTCTAATCATAATGTTAATTTCAAGTACTTTTTTAGTATTAATTACACCATTATTTCATCAAACATTGTCACTACGTTGATAAATAAATTATACACGGGATACAACATGTTACTTCAAGTGTACAAAAAGGTATGATTGCTCCTCTTAATCTTTCATTTTCCAATCATAAAGTTAATTTCAAGTACATTTTTAGTATTAATTACACTATTAGTTCATCAAACATCGTCACTACGTTAATAAATAAATTATATAAAACATAAAAATTATACATTAATAATATATCATATGTGAACGTCATGGACAGATAAAGAACGAGAATGAAAGTAATTTTCAAGATAATATTATTCGATAAATTAATATCTACCAATCAAATCAAGCACATTTAAACAATAAAAAATATCTAAATTAAAAAAATTCAAAATTTTGACTAAAGATGAATTTTTTATTGGGCTTGGGCGTTATCAACTCTAAGGTGCCTCAATTGTCAAACAAGTTGTCATTCTTATCAAACTTTGACCCAAAAGAAATTCCATAATTAAAGATTTAAACGTGTACCTGCGATTAAAGCAGTCCGGTCTGTGCTGCCACAGCCACCATTATTCTGACACGTATTATCTGCAACAAGACGACCACAGAAGTGAGCAAATTAAATCACGCCACGTGTACTTACTGCCGCTACTTTAAAAAACTGCCGCAAATGAACTTACTCTCGGCACAAATCCCTTCAATCGGATCCCACCAAAGGCCCGAATTACAGAAGCACCTTTGGATCCCATTGGAATTCGGGTCGGATCCACACGTGGAGTTCCCATCGCAATCTGCCTGGGTGCTGCAAACCGGTTCGGGCGGAGAAATCCACTGCAACTCCATGCCCGGTTCGGGCCACCGGTTCACCGGCAACCCTGTATCCAAATTAACAAAGCTCGTATAGGCTCTACACCCGCTCTCCCTCACCCTAATGGCATGCGCCGTCGCTCCTCCGCCTGCTCTGAACGTACAACATATTGGCGCAACCTCACACGCCGTCGCGCTCGTGCTGTCGTTGACGAACACATGGCACAATCCGGTGGACGAACAGTCCAACGGCGAACGAAGGATCGAATCCGTACAGTTCAAGAACATGATGGTGTTACTGCTGGTGACGTTGAAAGGGAGAGAGCTGTTGAGCTGGACGCCTTCGAAGGGGAGATCGGTTGTGACGCATGTATTCGGGAGAAGACTCGCCGGCTTGATCACGAGCCGTTGATTGAAACGATTCACGGACATGATCGGATAGGAGTTGTTGAGCGTGTCGAAGATCAGCGATCCAGCATCGCACCGGATTTTGTAGGACTGATCGCCGCAAGCGGGGCCAGTTGAGAGAGGATAAGGCACGGGAGTGGAGCCGCAGTTCGGGCAGCGTTGAGCGGAGGGAGCTACGCCAACGGCGCACGTAAGCAAAAGCAGTGCCGTCGATAGGAGTTTAAGTGTTGCCGCCATTTTGATTTCGGAGGATAGTTGAAAGCTGCAGAGAGAGGCTTCGTGTTTTAAATCGTTTTGGATTACGGAGGTATATTTGCAAATATTGGAAATGTGAAGGGTACTTTTGGAAAGTTATGGAAGATTCCTACAGCTTTTTATTTTGTAAGCAATAGTTGACAAAAGTCATTGACTTCCGACTGGTTTTTTTACATTATATTTTTTTTGTTTTTGTGGAATTAATATTCAAATTTTACCAGAAATTGCCAGCAAAGAAATGAAGTCATCTATCACAACTGAGCTCATGAGCATCCTATCTTACAATGTAATATAATTTTATTAAAAATATAATATTATATTGTTTTGCATATAAAAAAATTATTAAAATATTTAAAAATTTTCAATTTACTATAAATGAGAGTTGGTATTTTGATAGTTTGCTTCCATTTTTTTTTTTAAATGAGAGTTGGTATCAAATTGCATTTTATATCCAATAGAATCTTATATTAACAAAAATAGTGCCAATAATTTTTTCATTTTCTAATCTTTCTGTGACATCTTAAGTAATTAAAAACTTACTAAGGTGTCTTGCCTTTTATTCAATTTTTCCTTTTTAAGATGTTGCCAAGTAAATTTTTTTTTTCTATATTAAGACACCTAATATTTTAACTTTGATTATATTACGATTTTTTATGATTTTATTTTTAGTCTTTATATTAAAATTTTTTATCCATCAACTTTTAGAAGAGATCAATTTACAATATATTTAATTAAAAATTAAATTTTTATATTTTTATTTTACATATTAATATGGATTGGTAATGTTAAATATTATTTACTATTGTGCTTTATTGTCTCATCATTATATTATTATATCATAATATTTTAATTAAAAGCAATAAACTTGCGACAATATGAAATTTGATAATAATAATAATAATAATAATAATAATATATGGATTCTACACTTAATATAGACCATTTATTTTATGATCTGAGTAACCAATGCGCAAATCCGATTAAACACTGCTACGAAAACGGCGCACACTAGCAAAAGCAGCGGCGTCTAAAGCGGTTGAAGCGTTGCCGCCATTTTTGAATTTTTTGGAAGATTGTTAAAACAGAGAGAGAGAGGCTTCTCCCCGGCTTCGTGTTTTAAAACGTGTCGGTGTACGGAGGTAAATTTGGAAATATTGGTTGATGTGAAGGGTAATTTGGAAAGTTATGGAAGATTACAAGATTTTCTTTACATTAATGTTTTCTCTTTTTGTGTGTTTCTAGAATTAATATTCAAACCCGACAGATATTGCCAGCAAAGAAGGGGAGGTCAACTGCCTAAACTTGGACGACATTTAATACCTTACCATATATAGAAAAGATTGTTACAAAAATTAGATTGCAATATTTGATATATATATATAATTATAACGTTTAGTATATATAGAAATATACTGATTAAAAAATTGAGAAAGTCTTAATTTACTATATATAAGGTTTTTGTATTTTGATAGGTTGATTTCAATTTTTTTTTCAATTTTTTAAAAAATTAAATAATTTATAACATACTTAAAAATCCTCTAACCACGACATAAGAAAAAAGAAAGTAAAAAGAGAAAAAAGAATGAGAAAAAGTGACCCGTGTGCAACGCACGGGCCATAGTTTAATTATAATAATATTAAAATTTTATATTTAATGTATTAACAGTCAGCTCACTTAATGCTGACTATTCGTCATGTAGGAACCTTTGGCTATGACATCTTTAATTACTATTTAAGTAAACAATACGATGGTATGGAATGAGAGACGGTAGCCGATGTGGGACGATTACATTTACTCCTCTAACCAGTTCATATGGTCAGCGTGATTCATTAATTGATCAAACCAACTACCAACAATCAGTTGCATATTGTCAAAAGGCAACCTAACCTTGTAACCACAGTAACCAAGGATTCCAGCAAACCGTAAAACTTCACCTTGAAAACAAACCAGTTCATTGTCTCCTTCATTCTAATTTCTTCTCTGCACGATGCGGATCGACTATTGTTTCGAGCCACCATCCGACAAATTGTCAGTCAACTGCATCAACGTGGATTTGTCTTTGAAACAATGGCACTTTTCTGGTAGTAAATGCAAATAATCCTGGGGAAACTTTGTTATACGAGGAAATAAACCATGAGAAACTAACACAAACTTACACGTGAAACAAAGCAAAGTCTAAATTAGACGAAACATGGCATCAAGACAATCTGAAAATCTCCAGAGACAATCCATACATACAATAGTTTCCCCCCAATCTAAGCTTTTCACGGCATCTGATTCCATACTATAGTTTGAATTATATATGAACTACAAATATACACAATGGACCTACTTATGTTGTACATCTTGAGCGTGAACATCAACCTAATCATGGTGAACCTCAGCCATGAAAGAATCAGAGCATGCATATATGCATATGAGCTACAGTATGTACATATACATATGACTTAAAGTGGTACATCAATGTGAAAGAACTGCTAACCTAACAAAACTGTTCCAAGGCCCGCAAAAGGTCTAGCTACTCAAGTGGGGGAGTTAGCCAGAAGCAGGGTATGCCACCAGCCACATGCGATGTTTTTAGGGCCACAACCATCTATCGTAACTTGAGAAGGAATGTTGCGATCAATCACATCACCCAGGCCAAGCTGTTTCAGACACCAAGAACTTATTGTTTTAGTTTTTGCGAGAAACTGAGGGGCATCCAGACACCACAACATTGGAACGGAACAGAACAGAACAGAAGATGCAAAAATAAACTTCCAGTTTTTCTATTTTGAGGAAGTACATAAATGAGACTTATATGCTCTAGAATAAAATCCCAAAAATATCAATTTCATGTGAAAGACAGGATCCAGGATATTCCAATGTTATAATGTTCAGTTGCCCACTAATTTGATCACTGATCAGTGTGAGCATGATACCTGGCCATACTTGTTCCATCCCCAGCAGAACACTTTCCCATCCTCTTCAAGCAACAGAAGCATAGAGTCAACAGACTAGGACAAAATGGAACATGAGGGTTTTCAGAAATGCATAGATGGCATACCTGTGATAATAGCACTGTGACGAGCTCCACATGAGACAACTTTTGCATGTGTATTTTCCAAACTTGGAGCATCCAAGAGCCGGGGAAGAGTCTGATTTAGAAATTCAATAAAATACCAAGGTTAATAGCACAACCTTTTCTTGCAATTGAAATAAAATATACATAAAAGTAGCAGCGAAGAGCTAAGTGTTTCCAAATGATTGTAAGATAATGCAAATTGCTAAACTAGCAACACTCAAATTCTCAGGATTTTAGCTTACAAACCCTAATTAACCATTTGCATTATCATTTGAGACAAGATAGGAATCTAATCTTGCACTAAAGTATCATGGATATGCAGCAAGTAATTGATCTATGGTGTGCTAACAATCAGTTTGATTCAGCTGTATTTAAGGAAAATACGGAATTCAAGGAGTAGAAACTTAGTGGATACCTCAGCCTGATCACCACCAGTTCCCAACTGCCCAAACTGATTCCCACCAAATGCATACACATCACCATCAGCTGATATGCAAACTGTGTGCCACAGTCCTGCTGCAACTGCCTCTATCCTGATGCCCAGTAAGGAAGATACACAAGTTGGGCTTAATTCATCATCTGTACTTCCTTGCCCACACTTAACAAAACAATAAAATCAAAACAATTTTACTCCTGTATCACAATAGACTAGAAGAAACAACAACCATATTTATCTCAATAAAATAGAGGAGAGATGAATATTGAAAAAGGAATTGAGAAGATTATCCCTTATTAGATTGAACCTCATCTTCAACTTTACTGAGCTTTTTTCTCCACCAATTTCTACTTTACCTACATATTGACCCTGAAGAACAGTTAAATCGGGAAATTCCAATCATCATCAGGGATGGATATAAGGATTCAAACATTGAACATGCCAGTTGAATAGTGGAAATGTTTCTGGCATTACATACTTCATAACATTAGAATGATTTGAGGCCATAATCAAAGGATCATCCTTAAGCATTTGAAAGTAAAAATCATTAAGGCTCATGCATTCAAAAAACAGAAGAAAAGGAGCAACGTTGGCTTTGAATGGACTACATGAACCATTCATGATACAAGATAGTCGCAGGCACTAAACAAGAAAATATTTAGCGATTTCAGGAGGCAATACTATAGACCCAGGATGAATGGCAACTGGTAGTGAGCCTTCAACAACCACAGTACAACTTCACTAAAGCTAAGAACGCTACTTAAAGAAAGTGTATCAAGGGAGAACAGAGAGATGGGAATGGTTTCGATATGTTATTGACAGATGCAAATGACACTCCAAACTATGACGTGATTAGGATCTCAAAGAGGAAATAGCCATTGTTTAAGCACTAATGCATCTCATTTATTTTTGGAATGCAAAGCTCAACTGTTAAATTTTTATTCTCTGTATCTCTTTTGTTGTTGTTGTTTTGGGGGGTAAGGTTTTTGGTCAAGTCAAGGGTGACCAACTCAAGTACAAGATAATACAGGGCTAAACCTCAAGAGAACTTGAGACAAATATATTCTTTAAGAAGAACTAAATAAGTCACCAGAGTATTCAATGTAACAATGCTACTATATCATCATTATGGCAACTAACCTGTCCATAGAGTCCCCAGCCAAAAGTAAGAAGTGCTCCAGCATCTGCTAATTCAGAAAATTGTTTAATGTAATTGTAGTATCACCATAATTTGAGATTAACAAAACATAGAAATATATAACAAACAAATCAGATATCAGACTAATAAAACATCTCATGCCATACAACATTCTTGTCAAATCTGACTATTGAAGACCCAACCTAGATCATTAATCCTATGTTGTCAAAAATATCTTGCAGGTCAGTAGAATCTAATGAGTCACTGATCTTCCTAAGGATTATTATAACAGATGGTTTTCTTCCAAAATAATTATTTAGCCCTCAAACATTCCTCTTTATTTTCTTTCTATTTTGGGAGGTAAGTTTTTCTTTAAGAGAGAAAAAAAAAAGGAAAGACAGCTGGGACTAGGAGAAAATAAGTAATATTAACTGATTAAAAGAGTTCAATTTCTCTCATGTCCCAACTCTTGTTACTTCAACAAATAGTGACCATTTTTTCACATTTTTCCTTCGCCAATTTCATGGCTTGTCCCAACCCAACTAAGCCTCAAGCTATAAATTTTACCAAAATTAAGAAGCTTTCTCTTTACACCACTCATTTTGTTTGTTTATTTATTGTCGTGCTACACCTCTCTTCATCTAATGAAACATATCTGACTCGAACTTGTAGCTCTCTGTATTAAAACTCAACCACTTCATCTCCAGCAAGTGTAACCATTTTCAATAGCTTTCTCTAATTAATTAAAACTTTTTCATGGCAATTTAAACATTCAAAGAAGGAACGATCAAAGACATACCTGTGATTACTGCACTGTGTCGTCCTCCACAGGCAATTGCCTTCACATAACTTCCAGGAATTCTAAAACTCTGCCCCTCTGAACTCATGCTTCCTCGAGAAAGTGCAGCAGCTCTATCTTTCCCATAAGATGAGGGCTCAATGCAAGGTACAGGATGGGGAGAGGATACCATTCGTATCCTGGAACCCAAGCCAAGCTGTCCCTCACCTCCATAGCCCCAACCCCAGACCTGTCCAACATCTGAAATTTAGAGGACATTAGGATATACCCAGTATCTTGCTTCACAAAAAGCAACCATTTACAACTTGAAATGTCATATTGTCAACAAATCTATGTGAGACTACATTAACAAAGAAAATGTACTAGTGTGACTAATTTCACTTGTTAGTCCAGAAGTTAGACAAGTCACCTGACAATGCTAGAGTATGGCGACCACCGGCAGCCACAGAAACAATTCTCACTCCCGGATTCAAAGTTACTAGACATGGCAATGCCGAGAGAGTTTCATCACCAGATGATGAGCTATCAGTGGCCTGTTTTGCTGATGATATTCTTCTTCTTTTTGTACTTTCCTCTCCACCACCCTTACTATCAGCAGCAGAAAATGTTCCGCCACTTGATCTTGAGCTTTGAGAGACTTCAAGAATTTCATCCTTAGTAAAATGAGTATGCCAAAAGGTAGGATTACCAGTCAGTTATCTTAACCCAAACGATATTTACCTTGCTCTGTCAAAAATGAGTTCTGTCTTTCGAATACATCCTTCTCTAAGCTTGTTCCCATGGATGGATCACCAAATACCTTCCCTGAGGGAATACACTCTTTCCACCCCCATGTATAAACTTCTCCATTTTCTGTGGATAAGAAAGTGAAATTGACTTATCAGCTACGCAATTTACTAAGGCTCCAATTAGTTGTTAGTTCTGCTATTTATTTCTTCTATTTCATTTTTGCTTACTCGAAAGTTGCTAAAAATGCTAATCATATTTGATTAAACAAAAAATGAAAACATCTAACACACATTTAAACATAATTGTTCCATCTACAAAGAAAATTACACTAATTCACTTTTGTATCCTATTCACTTTATTGCCTTTTGTTTCCTAAACCAAATACCAAGTAACGGAAAGTAACGACCAAATAGAGCCTCAGTGAAACAAGTCAGTAACAGAGCCTTAGTCTCAGTCTTACCTGTAACTGCAACACAATGAGCCCAACCAGCTGCTGCTTTTACTACAGAAGCTTCAGTTGGAAGTGGAAATGGCTCTGGCGTTTCCTGAACAAGCCAATTACAGAAAAGAAATATAAATTTAATTTGCTAAACAAAAACAACCCCGCAAAAAAAAAAGAGGAAAAATTGGGAAAAATATATAGAGCATTAAATTACCCCATGCTTCCCGGATGTAACGTAGCTTTGACCTAAATCATCCGTTGAACCCCATGTGATAAGCTTCCCTGAATCTAAAATTCAGAAGAATAGCAGAATTAGTTGAATATAATGTTATTTTATTTACAGTAATTGCTTGAAACAATTTATTTTACAGACAAAACAAATACAGCTAAAAATCACTTTTCAAAGAAAAGAAGAAATTCGAATCACAACTCTAATTTCTCCATTAACAACTTGAAAACGTTCTTTGTATATATAAGAACCGAGAGAGAGAGAGAATCTGCAGTTTAAAACTCAGTAAGATAAAGAGCTTGAATGAACTCAACATCGCTACTGTAACTCAGATGAGTTGCTTCGAAGCAAAACAAAACAAAAATAAACCAAAAGTTTTAAAATCTCACATCCTTTCCTTTTCCTACATTTTCTGGCCAACCAAACTGATCAAAATGTACCGACTTTAACCACCACAACAGCAGCAATTACATTACCGAAAAACTTCAAATTTTTTTAAGAAGAAAAAGAAAATGTTTTATATAGAAAAAATGAAGTATAATTTAAAATAAGGAAAAAAAAGTTAAAAAGAAAAAGAAAAGAAAAGCGCAGAGAAACAGAGAGATTTGAAAAAAAGCAACCAGAAATGGCCATGGCGAATCCGCAACCGCCACCGCATACGTCCGTCCAAGAACAACCGACAGAAGCCGGAATCCGCACAGAAACAGGCGATAAAAGCGGCGTCCGTTGCGGTAGCGCTCCAGGTAAATATCCCCACATGAAAACCAACCGCTCTCTGTTCACTTCCTCCATTTTCACCTCCTCGCTTTCTTTTCCTTCTCCATTCATCTCCAACAGAGAAGGGAAAAGAAAGGAAAACCCAAATAATAATAATACAAAATAAAAAATAAAAAATAAACTATTGGAGTTCCCTTTTTTTATTTATTTTTATTTAATTCGTTTGCGAGTTTGGCCAGGGGAGCCCTTATTTTGGGGCGAATAAAAAGCGAGGCGTATCATTTTCAAGGGAACGGGATGTGCCACGTAGGATGCTCATGTGGGAGGAAATACACGTGGCGAAACATTAGCCGCTAGATGTCTCGGCAATTTCTAGCCAGGAGTTAGACGGAAGTTTCTGGAAGGTCACTTCTTTTCCTCTTCCTCTCTGTGAAGTTACAGAGAGAGCGTGGTCAGTGGCGTGTTCGATTAAAATTTTGACACGTGTCGACTTAAGCTCGAGGACCAATCATTATGTTTGACACGTGGCCGTAAGTGAAGGGGAAAGTTGGTGAAAGGCTCCTGACACGTCATCCGTCGGTCCCATTGCCGTATGTTGAGTTTTTCTCTTTAGAAGGTCACCAATAATATAATTTGAAAGGGGAAGGTCCTTGGCATCATTATCACAATGTTTTACGGCAAGCTTTCCTAAATGAGTTAATTGATTAAGAAAATTAATAATTATATATTTTTTATACAATATATACATTTATTATTAAACATTCTATATATAATTACCCTCGACTTATCTATACTTATTTATAAATTGAGTGGCTCGAAATCAACTTAAAAAATAACTTTTTATGCCCCAACTCAACTTGTAATAATATTTTTAATAGTAGATTTATTAGTTCATACTTAAATCAAGATTTAATTTTTAAAAGTATCAATTGAGTTTGACTTATTCTTATTTTGATGTGTGAAATCGATCATAAATATTTTGATCAATTATTCGAATTAGGGCAATACATACGATTCTTTACTAGAGTCATACATTTAAATCGAATATCAAATTATTTTCGACTTTAAATGAACCTAATATGAAAAACAATGTTTGAAGATCTTTCTCTTTCCAAGAAAGAAAAGAAAAATGTACATAAAAAAAGTTATTTAACTACTAGTTAAAAAGGAAGGGATATAGAATTATTGGAAACATGGAAAGCATAGAAAAACTATTTCTTGGTGCATTATTGACACAATTTAATTCCTGACTTATTAGGTTTGGGAAAGCAAAAGATTGTTCCCAATCTTGATATGAAATGGGGAATGAGGATTGTTGATGAATGTTGTCTCAATGTAGATAGAAAGAAAGGAGAGGTTTTAAAATGAGCACTAGTACAATTTCCTTTTTCCATTGTGATTTCTTTTTCACTTTGGCATTTCCCACACTCTATGGTTTGCTCTTACTTGGTTACAAGTCAAATCATGCTTGAAAGTGAATAACCCAATAGTTCAATATATTACAACCTATTTCTATATTAATTAGGGTTTGATTTTTTCTCGGAACACTTTGCGAGTGAAATCTTGAGTGCATTAAGTTTATACGAGTTAATGAATTTTTAAGATTGCTCTTAGAGGAAATTAGATTCAAATAAAGTTTAAGAATATCTTTCTTAATTTATCAAGTTATTAACGACTGTCCACTCCTCGTGGTCATATTAAATGTGAAAATATTTTTCTAAATATAACATGGTCATAGAATTTTGCTTTTAATTTACAAAATTGTAACCTCGAGCTTTGGTTCAAATGGTCATGTCTTCGGAATTTTCTTGAAGGTTGCAAGTCTTTTATGGTACATGTGATATTTGGTTATACAATGGAGGATAACTTTATCTCCATTTATCCCACAATTCGAATTCGAAGCCTTCAAAATAAAATTTCAAATTCTAATCATCAAAATGTTTAATATATTTTTCAACTAAATGTTAATGTCACATATCTCACATCATTAAGAGATGAAATAAATTTTAAACTTATAAATAAGATTTTTTTTTATTTGATAGATATGTCTTTAAATTAAAAATATAGATTCGTGACAAATGATATCAGAAGTTACTTAATTCATAAGAGATATTAGAGTCAAGGTAAACCCAAATCAAAACAACTCTCTCTCTACGAATCTACTAATGAATGATACAATGAGAACGTTACATAATTTTTCAAGTTCCAATTATATTTCTTTTTCCCTTATGCCTCTTTGGTCTACCATATAAAAGAAAATTTGGTTTACATGACAAAAATGTCCCACAGGCCTAGCCCAAGTAGCTAATTATATCCTTGAGTAAATGTCTCTAAACCATTAATTTGAAGGCCTAATTATTGTACGGATCCGTAAAGCAATTTTGAACAGGCCAAGTTTTTTTTTTTTTAATTTTGGGCCTCAATTTATTGTGAAATCATGCTAATCAAAACATGGGCCCTCTCCCAATGATGTATTTTTAATTTTTTGACGTGTTTTTGATAAGAAGAAAATGATTGGGCCCCACGATTCATGTGGCTGATATTGATGGGCTTGTCATTTGGTACAATCGATCATGTGATGGGGAAGAGAGGCCCAATGATTGTGGGTGACCTTGACCCCACAGGATCAGGTTTGTTTTGACATGGATTGGATCACATGTGAGAGTTGCATTATGTAACATGTTGGGCCCTAAAGCATTGGACTAGGGAGGCACACGTTTCCCATTTCAGGGCAAATAAACCTTTAGTGCAAGTTTGTGAAGTAAAGGAAAATGCCACTCCCACGTTGCAATTTCACTGTGCCAATAATTCTCCAATCCGTTTCCATCAAAATTATTGAGTTTCTAGCTACCAAACTTTCAAGAAAGAGTTAATTCAAAAAAATTTTAGGTTATCTATCATTAAATCTTTATAGTCATGAAAGTGAATTTTAAATGAATATCTACAACATATCTAATGAGTTTCGTGTATAATTTACAATCGTTGATGTATTCACTGATTAAGTCAATAAGTTTTATATATATATATATATATAACTCATAGAGATGATAATGGGTATTTTTATAATTAGGTATCTAATATCACTCAATCCAATTAAGTAAAATTAAAATAGTCGAATATTTAACTAGTAGTTTTTAAGATATTAGGGTCTGAGTTTGAGTAACAATTGTAAAAGTTAATTTGATATTTATAGAGTTTAAAATATGATACCTTAAAAATAACGGATGCCTATCTCTCTTGAATGTTCACCTTCATCATTTCATATTTTTTTTCCATATCTTATGTCCAAATTGGCTAAAGAGCTTGGAGGTATCATGTTCATGCATGCAAAGGATAGGAAAGCTTTGTCAACCCCAATAAGATTTTTGGGTTGCATTGGGAGGGATTGAGTTCAACATGCAATTGTTTTCAAAGCAAAAGCCATAGCTTCAAGCAGCTGATGGAAGAACTGAAAACTAATGTGATGGTGATGATGATGATGATGCTTGTTTCTTTCATCATTTGATGGTAACACCATCTCTTTTTTCAATGAGCCATCGTGCGGATGTAGAACCGATATGTTCCAATGATTGTTAGGAACCCTGCGGTGGATCTTGTTTTTGGTAGATCGGACGGCTGAGGAGTTATCTTTACCCCTGCATTTACGGATTGGAGGGACTTCATGGGGACCCCCTTGGTGACTTTTTCCCCCTTTGCAGGGTGACACTGTCTCATGTGATTGGAAGCCTTCCAATCTCAACAGTACTTAGTTCTACGTTGTTCTTGCCATGTACAATGCATGAAAGAGACGGTTTAAAGACAGCGACCACCACAGGTGTGGCTGTTGCATCGCCATTGCTAGAACATGGAGAGAAAGTTGTTTGACTACGTTTGCGACATTTTCGTTTCAAACCGGTTTCATGTATGAGTTTTGCATACGTGAACAATGTGCGTCAATAATTTACGAACCCTATTATTATTCGATAGAGTATATGAACCTTAAACATTATATATTAAATACTCAAATATTTGAATCTTACTTAATTAGACCAAATATATTAATCTTTTAAAAAAACTTAAATTGAATAATACAAGATATCCGATTATAAGATATTAATTATAATCCCTATTTCATATGGAATCTTAGTGAATAATACAAGATACCTAATTACAAGATATTGATTATAATCCCTATTTCATATGGAATCTTTAGGTTAAAATTTACATATGTAAGCACTGGCTAGAGAAAACTTTAGTTTTGGTTTTAAACCAACTGAAAATAAAACAATACTAGCTGGCTGATGACAGGTAGCAAATCTATTGGTTAGGGTGGAGTCTTTCTGTAATTTACGTGAGCTAAAACCAGGTTATGTTTGAAGCCTGAAAGAATCCATGGCGGGCATGAGCAATTCATGCAATTTTCACCTCTAAAAAACACAAAAACATTGCACATGCAGAGCAAAGAGAAGGTGCACCAACCAATTCTTGTGATACCTTAACATGCTTCATTGCCTATCGAGCATTAAGCCCTGCATAAATAAAGACCCAACAGAGACTCATATAAATTGCCCACATAACTCCAAACTCTTTAAAGAGATACAGAAAGTTTTTAAGGTGTGAGCACAGTGAGAGATCAGGGAAGTAGGAGGATGGAGAGTGAGAAACAGAATGGAGTTAGCTTCTTTCAGATGCCTCTTCACTACCCTAGGTACACACAGAAGGACTACCAGGACATGCCGGAGTGGAAGCTTGACAGGCTTTTGGCTGAATATGGGTTGTCTACTAAAGGTGACTTGGCTTACAAGAGACAGTTTGCCATGGGTGCCTTTCTCTGGCCTGATTTCCATGGCCACCAAAACCCTTCTACTTACATCAGCTATAAGTAATTCTTGTTTTTATGTCAGGTGTCTTGTAAACTTCGCTAATTCCAAGTTCCTACATAGAGAAACAGCATCTGCTATACGACAGTCATGTTCCTCTAGGGTTTTATTGCAAGTTACTATGCATTCAATTGTATGGGCCTTTGTCTACAATATCAATGGTTTTGAATCTTTTCCTATCCTATGGCCTTGTCCAAAATTCGTCCAAGGAGCTGAAAATGCATGCACTAGACTAGAAATTTTAAGACTAATCATGAAAATACCTAATGTTCAATACTGATGAACCAGATTATAACATGCAGGTAACTTGAAACTAGCAAACATTCTCTTACAAGATTCATAACTTTAGGCGTTATACAGAGAGCAACCACACCTGAA